GAGGAGAAGGGATTGCGGCGTGACCATCCCCCCTGGGGGGTGATTTCTCGCTTTCTGTCTCTGTCTCTGTCTGTCTGTCTGGCGAGCGCACACACCCAATAGCAAAAAAAATCTCTCGCAAAAAAAAAAATGGATCTACTCAGGATTTTGTGACTAATTCCAAATTTAATTCTTTTCATTTAAACAGGGTAATACCTTGATCTTAAGGAAAATTCAAGTAACTTACTGCATTTTACTACAAAAGACCTTAGACTCACTCAGTAATACAATACCAAATACATCAAAAATGTATTATTTTTAAATTATACTGTGAAGGGTAAAAGGTATTTTAAGCCTCAAATACTTACCCAATGACAAAACAAGAAATTGCTGTCCCAAGAAAAGCATATGCTAGGATAGACCCAAGGTTTCGAAAGAAATGTCTCTGATGAACAAAAGAAAAAGTTACTCAGTGTTAGAATTTGTATGACTCATTCGAAAAAGAAAAGATTTTCTATTCTAGTGAACTATGCTAACATTAAATGCATCATTCACTAGAAGAAATAAGTAAGAGAAAGCATACTTGCACAGGCACACATTTTGGCATTTAAAAAGGATAAAAAAAGGGGGCCGGCAGTTAGTGTGATGGTTAAGGTGCTAGACTCCCACGTGGCCAACTGCGATTCAAGTCGTGGACCCAGTGGCTTGAAAATCATGCCAAGCATGTGTTCTTGTGTGCCCAAAATCTCGAGAGAAGAATGGAGGAGATTGTGACATGGCTACCCGCCAGAGAGTAATTTCTCACTTTTCCCTCTCTTTGACTCCCTCTGTCTCTCTCCAGCAAGCAGACATGCCCTATGGCAAAATCCTAAAAATAACAATAAAATAAAATAACCTCTAGAAGGTGTTTCAATTAAAGAAAAAAATATAAAGTAAAAAGAGAAAAGAAGGGAGGGAAATCTGGAAAGAACCACCTGTTTCTGAAGTGTCAACTACTATACAGCTCAGGGAGCTTAAGGCCGTTCAAAGTATATGAAAAACAAGAGCACTTACCCTTTTCAAACTGTAACCTGCATAAAATATGATAGGAGGAAGTAATATGTTGAAAAATACTTCTGGATCAAAAGTAACCTGTTAAAATAAAGAGTTCTTTTAGATGAATGCCCTTAGAAGACCTCATATTACATAATCAAATAATCAAAAAGAAAAATGATGACATGATAAACTGGTCAAAAGCAAAAACATTACTGTGGTAACTTACAAGTATTTCATATAGGATAGTTGTTGTTCTACTTCTCAACCAAATGACAAGGAGATAGTGTTGGAATAGTCATTAAGCCATATCTATGGAAGGTGTGTTAAAATATCAGTGCCATCATGTTTAAAAGCAGGCTGGCTCCATTGTCTAATCATTAAGGGGGCCAGACCCACATGGCCGACCATACAGTTTGATTCCCAAACCCAATGGCTGAAAACCATTCTGGGAGCATATGTTCATGCACCCAAAATCTCAGCAGGATGGAGAAAAAAGGAATCTCAGCATGAGCATGCCCCTTGGTAGTGCTTTCTCCTTCTGTCTCTCCAACTCTCTCTGGCAAGCACACATGCCCTCTGGCAAATTGGAAGAAAAAATAGGAGAAAGCAAGAACATACTTTTAAATAAAAGGGCCAAAACTAGTGACATCAATTTTTGGACACAGCATTATTTTTACAAAAGCAAACAAACTTCTTACATAGGAACCATCTCTAAAGTGCATAATATTGTAGTAAAATGTTGCTGTACAATTCAGATTTCTAGTTCTGGCAGCCCACTCATTTTAAGACTTACTCATTATGATAATGCAGACGCCCCCTTCTGTTCATAGGGCTACAGTAGAAGTTGATATAAACTCAAAGCAGCTACATGCATGCCCAAGCTAAAAGCTTCACTTCCTAGAACATCTAAGAAACTGGAATTTTCCACAAGTAGAAAGAAGTCTTGCTGCAAAGCAAACTTTAAATTCATATGAAATTTTAAAAGTATTCAAGATGGTCAGGAACACCACGGAGAAAACTATAATAGTCAACTCCCGCCTGTGTAGTAGACAGGAAAAGTAGAGGCAAACAGCCACAGGTGGGTGAAAACAGAAATAGGAGCAAAGTAGTGCTGAAAAGCTTCTTGAGAAAAACTACGGGGGGACAGAAGAAACAGCTCCAGGAATGTCTGGGAGCCGGCAGGACTACAACCCAACCTCCCACATGAAGCTTTATGCACGGTATGGTACAATAAGACTCATGCTAAGGCCCCTGAAGTTGAGCCAGATTATGAATCAAAGAAAGATTAAGTTATGTCTAGTGTAGAATACAATGAGGGTAAGAAAGAATCCGGAGGAATATTAGTGGAATATTCTAAATAGTATTGAAGAAACCCAATGTGCTGAAGTACTATAAAACTATAAGAACCTCCTACAGAAAGAAAGAAATGCTTATAAATTCTGCTTAACTCAAACTCAGCCACCATTTATTACAATAATTGCAAACAACGCACAGTGAAACAGAAAGGGTTACAGTACTTAGCCGCAACCAGAAAATGAGATATACAAACAGATTCATTTCCTTACATTACATTTGTTAACTGAGGTTTTACCCCATTTTAAGAGACTAATTTGAAATAATTATATTGCCAGAAGGTGTGTGTGCTGGCCATAGACATACATACAGAGAGAAAAAGAAAGACGGAGAGAGAAAATAACGCCCTGCCACTGCGGGCATGGGCACGCTGCAATCCCTTTTCCTCCATTTCTCTATTCTGTTAGGATTCTGGGCAAGCATGCTCATGTGCCAGCATGCTGTTCCTCAAGCTACCAGGGCCAGGACTTGAACTGTCCTTGGCCATGTGAGATCTAGCTTTCCATGCACAGGGCTTAACTGCTATGTTATGGGGCTGGCTCTTAGGTTAATTATTTTAAAATCATTTAAAATTCCTTGTTTTTGTTCTAAATCGTTTTGTTGCTAGTTACACACTTTTTTTAAAAAAATCAAAGATTCTCTTTAACTAAGAACTTACCTTTCGAAGCATTTCATTATCTTGAACGTTATTGAGTTCATGTGAACTAATCTCTCCTTTCAGCGTATACTCGTAAAATTTTCCACTAACGTTTACCAATAAGGTAGTTGGACTTGATGGCACTCCACAGCTCAGGGTTACGTTATTTACGTCACTTGGAACATGAATGCCATACCGAAGCACAAGGCCCACCAAAAGACCTATAAATAAAAGAACAACATAAGCACTTCTTTTAAACAGAGATCACTTCTTTTGTAGCCCACACATATGTCTGGCTTGATGACAGAAAATCCCTTAGTCACTTGTAGTTCAGAACCTGTTTTTAGACTGAATGCAGTTACATTCTGAAGAATTACTAAATCCAAATGTCCAAGAGCAAACATCATATAATCCAGTAGAACACAGGAGAGAAAAATATTCCCTAGGCTAACAGCACAGATCACTATATTACAAGAGCAATATAATAAGTGGTAAGAAGGCTTTAAAAATGAGAAAAATACCTTCTAATCATCTGTACACAGAATATACTCTAAAGGATCCCAACCCAACAGCACAATCATGTTAGAAACGTGTTTTCCTGGGCCAGCAGGTGGCATGGTGGTTAAAGCACTGGACTCCCACATAGGTGACCATGATATGAGTCGCACACCTGGTGGCCTGAAAAATCACACCAGGTATGTATGTGCATGTATGCCCAAAATTCCAGGAGGAGAATGGAGAAGGAATTCTGGCATGGCCATTCCCCAGAGGGTTGTTTCTCACTTTCCCGCTCTCTGATAAGCATATGCACCCTGTAGCAATATATATATATATTTTTTTTTTTCCACCTCTGCCCATCAATTACACTTCCCAAGTTTATTCCCAAAGCACATGGCAGGTCAAATAATACACATTTAACAAATTGAAAAGTCAGTAATATTTGTAGATTGGCTGAGTTTTTCTACTAACAGGTCAGATTTGAATATTAAAATATCTGTTTAAAAATCAAAGCATGGAATAGAAATCCTGAATCAGATGCTATAAGATCAACATACTGTCAGGATCTTGTCTGGATCGTTCTACTGCTATTCAGATGTGCACAATGTTCTAGGTACTATAAAACTATACTGATAAAGGGGCCAGTAGATGGTGTGGTAGTTAAGGTCCTGGACTCCCTCATGGCTGACCACAGTTCAGGTCCTGGACCTGGCGGCTTGCTTTCTCACTCACTTTGCCTCTCCCTCCCTCTCTCTCTCTGTCTCTCTCTGACGAGCACATGTACCCTGTAGCAAATTTAAGAATAATGATAATGACAAATAAAATTAAATAAATAATGGGACCACCAGTTGGCATAATAGCTATGTTGCTAGACTCCCATGTAGTCGACCACGGTTTGAGCCCTGGACCCAGTGGCTTAAATTCACGCTGGGTGCGTGTCCATGTGTGCCCAAGATCCTGAGAGGAGAATGAAGGAGAAGGGATTGTGGCATGGCCATACCCTCCTGGGGGCTGATTTCTCGCTTTCTGTCTCTCTGCATCTGTCTGTCTTTCTGGCGAGCACACGTGCCCTATAGCAAAAACCTCGCCAAAAATTTTTTTTAATTAAACAAATAATTATATTTTAAAAAACAATATTAGTCAACTACAGTCATTTCATAATGGTTTTATTGAGCTCAAATTCACATATCATAAAACTTATCCTTTTAGATTATAATTCAGTGGTCTGTAGTATATTCACAAAGCTGTCTATCAATCACCACAACTTAATTTCAAAACATTTTTATCATTCCAGAAAGAAACCCCCATATTTACTAGTAGTCATTCTCTACTCCCCTATTCCACAACCCTGGGAAACCACTAATCTTTCTCTATGAATTTGTGTATTCTGGATATTTCACATAAATGGAATCCTATAATACATGCCTTTTCTGTTTGGCTTCTTAACATAATGTTTTCAAGACTTATTCATGCTTTTAAATTGCCAGAGGATGTGCGCAATCACTAGAGACATACTGAGAATATACCCTCAATGGGGCGTGGTCATATCATAATCCTTTCTCCATTTCTCCATCTTGTCATAATTTTGGGCACACATGCACACACACCTGGCATTTCTGTCAAGCTGTCAGGGCTGGGTATCAAACTGTGATCAGCCACATGGGATCTGACTCTCTTAACTACTAGTCCATGGAGCTGACCCAGGTTATCCATGTCATACCAAGTATCAGAACTTCATATTTATAGCCAAATAATATTCCATTGTATGGATATACCTCTATTGCAAATTGAACCCCATTTGTGGAACTTTCCTTAACACCAAGATACATAGCATACCACTATAGCTACGTTTTACCTTCCTGTCATCTTTCGTTCTTACCACCATTATTTTTAAATATACTAATGGAGTATTATACTAGGTCCCTCGGGGAATCCTATTCAAAGACGAAAATAGGGTATCTCCTTCAAAGAGTTCTCAGTCCAATTAGCGAAAACAGACCAAATAAACAATTATAGGATATATATATATACGAGGTGTTATAAAAACAGAAAAGTAACACATTCCAAGCCTAAGGCAGTGGGGCATTATAGAAGTCTTTTGAGAAGAGTCACTTGAGCAGATAACAAAACAGAAAAAAAGGGTATATTCCAGGTAGGGGAATAGTGAGATATAACTAGTCAAGGAAGAAGGAAAGAACATAGCCCATTCAGGGAACTTCAAGTCTTTCAGTCTAGCTGGCTTATAAAGTAATAAGAATTGAGGTTTGAAAGATCAGCAAGAGCTGAATCATAAAAGATCTTGCATGTTGAGGAAGGGAGTGTGGACTTTATCCCAAAAACAAAAGTCATAGAAGGTGGGGCTGGCATACGGAATGGTGGCTAAGGCACTGGACTCCCACATGGCTGACTGTGGTTAAGTCCTGGACCTGGTGGCTTGCTTTCTCACTTTCCCTTTCTCTACTATCTCTCTCTGGTTATAAATAAATAACAAATAAAATTAATTAAATAAACAATTTATTTTTTAAAAGGTCATAGAAGGATTTTAACCAGGGACCTGACATTGGATTTCTATTTTAGAAAGACCTGTCTAGACTAGAGAGGATTTAAAAGTCCACAGAGATGGCAACTGTGACTGTTTAGGTAATAAGAGTTTAGGACCTTCTAAGAGAGTAGTAGTAGAAAGAGAAAAGGATTTTTAGAAGATATCTTTTTTTAAATAACTACTTAATTCATTTTATTTGTTATTATTATTTAATTTGACCAGAGACAGACAGGGAAAGTGAAAAAGCAAGCCACCAGGTCCAGGACTTGAATGAGAAAGTAAGCCATCAGGTCTGGGACTCGAACTGCAACTGACCATGTGGGAGTCCAGCACCTCAACCACCATGCCAACTGCTGGACCCTGTATCATTTTTTTTTAAGTTTACTCATTTATGAGCTGGCCCCACAGCATGGTGGTTAATACAGCCAAATTCCACATACCCAACCACTGTTCAAATCCTGAGCTTAGTAGCTTGAAAGACACACTGGGTTTGTGTGCACGTGGGGCCCAAATCCTGACAGGATGGAGAAATGGGGAAGGAACTGTGAAGTGACCATGTCCCACTGGGGGGTGCTTTCTCTTACTCTCTCTGACAAGTGTATATGCCCTCAGGCAGTTAAAAAGTCTCTTCATTTATTTCCTTCATGAGTGAGAGAAAGAGAATGAGACGAAGATAAATAGCACCCCAACAAGTTCTTGACACCGCCATCCGTCCCCAGCTTCAGCCAGCCCAGGATCATAGGCACATGCATGCCCAGCATTTTCAGAGAAGTCTCCAGATTCAAACTCAGACCTTTCCCCTGTGGGTCAGCCTCACAGAGCATTACGTTTTACTACCATTCCACTGTCCAGGCCACAGAGGTATCATATTAATACTTGAGAAGGATTTGGTGACTGAGTAGGCTAGACTGAGGGGAAGAGAGAAGAAAGACCAAGAGGAGTCTTAATTGACTTGGTAACTAGGTGAGTAATTTGGCCCGAGCACGCACCAAGATGGATAGTGGGGCCACTCAATAAGGTAGGGAACACAAGGAAGAACAGATTTATAGAGGACAAGGCGAAGTTCAGTTCTGAACATGTTGAGTTCGATTTATCTGTGACACTTGCATAGGTAAGTATGTGAGATCTGGGGTTCAAGAAGGTGGAGGAGACCTCAACTAGACAGAGATGTACCTTGGCAGTATAAATGAGATCCCCTATGGAACAAATGAAATGGGAAGAGGTCTAGAAGAAAAAGACACAGGAGTGGGAAGAAAAAGGAAGTCCATATGGCAAAGAACTCAGGAAGAAAGGGAAAACTCTTTTCTAGGAGGAGAAAGTGATAGAATCTATCAAATGCTGTAGTAAAATCAAGTAAGCCTGGCATCAGAAGTGTCCACTGGGTTGGTAAAAAGGAGGTCATGGGTGACCTTGATAAAAACAGTTTCAGTGGGGGAGTGGGGGTAGAAGACAGACCAGAAGGGGAAGTGATAAAGCAGAAATGGGGGGGATAGAAGGGTATAAGAGCAGTAGGTGGCAAGGAAACAGAGGAGTAGGGATGATGGATTCTTCTAATCACACGGTTTGTAATGTGAGCTCAATGATTAATGGGCAAACAGTACAATGATGTTAAATTTAAACAACATTTTAACAAAGGTTCAGATTTAAAATAAATGAAAGCCATGCTATAACATATCTCACCACATGGAGCCAGCAGGTGACATGGTAGTTAAGGCACTAGGTTCCCACATGGCTGACTGTGATTTGAGTCCCAGCCATGGCAACTTGAAAATCACACCAGGTGCATGTGTGTGCATGCCCAAAATCCCAAGAAGAGAATGGATGAGAAAAGACAGCCATCCCTGAGGAAGGAGTGCACAATTTATCACCTTCCCTCTCTTTCTATCTCTCTGGCCAGTGCATGTACCCCATGGAAAAAAAAAAAAAACTTAAAAAAAAAGGAGAAAAAAAACCCCTGATGTCTATCTGTTGTGCTTGACAGACATAACCTGAGAGAGAAAAGGCTACAGATCCAGTCATTCTGCCCTGTGATAAAGAAACAGCTGTTTCTCTACTATCCCATAAGACTTCCTAATTAAGAGGCTTAGGGGGACCAGCAGTTGGTGAAATGGCTATGTCGCTGGACTTCCATGTAGTGAACCATGGTTCGAGTCCCGGACCCGTTGGCTTAAACTCACGCCG